CTGAGCCATCACCATGGTAACCTGTCTACTGGCCCGTGCACACGAACACACCCACCCACACACTCTCCCACAGCAAGTGCAAGTGTATCTACTAACACCCCACAAATGTTAAAAGGAGGTGTGTTAGGTAACAATGCAGAGGTGAAACATATCTATTGTGGCGGCAACACACTTTAGGAAAATGTTAGGAAGTGTTACACCATTTCTTGTGAATGGAAACTGCATCAACCAACTTGATATAGACCGTATTCTCCTCAAATGACAACAAGGGAAGGGAGAATCATATTCAACTACAAAATTAAGAGAAAATATAAGATATGATATAATGAATAAAGAAAAAAGTCTAATTAGGACCGTTATTTATTTTATTTTATTTTATTTATCTATTTGCCTTGTGACATTATTGTGAAGATAATTACGTACTATTTCCTATTAAATTCTTATTATTGTATTACTATATATATATATATATATGATAAAAATCATCCTTGACACGAAGGATTTTTAATTAATATCAGCATTAAATTCATGGCAGCTAATAACTGTTACTAATAGATATATTGTGTTACTTTTTTTGTATACTTTTTTATGTATACTTTTACATATATTATATTTAAACAAAATACTAAGTTTTTTATATAACAATAATGATATTTGTATAATTTGGGCTTGGCAGCTGGCTTCTGTGAATCAGGAGAGATATGCTAATTTGTCATGAAAATAATGACAAATTAGATAATGCAACAAAAAATGTAGACTTCAGATATGTATATACTCTGTATCTCCCTATATATTTATATATATTTAAGAAACAATAAAATAAGTACAAATATAATGCACACACAAGCATACTATATATATATACTGTATATATATATATAGGCTATATATATAGGGAGATACAGAGTATATACCGGTACATATCTGAAGTCTACATTTTTGTTGCATTGTGACATTATATATATATTTAAGACACAATAAAATAAGTACAAATATAATGCACACACAAGCATACTATATATATATATATATATATATATACTAAAAGAGCTGTACGTCTGTCCCTTACTACCTTATTTTCACTCAGGTCAAATTACTAATGGTGTCTTCAAAGGAGGGTGTAGCGCTCTTTGTCTGTCTCTCTTTCTGCTTCACTTCACTCCCCTGTTTCTGCTAGACCAGTAATATATAATTCAGGACGTGTGTCTGTATTTATGCATTCAGATTACAGATTGTGTGTAGGGAGGTGCAGGGCAGGTGAGATTCTTTGATGCACCACAGGAAACATCTCTGCGGAACAGAAGTGTCACAATTTCCATATGTTATCGACGATCAGTCTGTAAATGTGGGTGGATGGTGATGACACTGACGATGTTGTTCCTGCCCCTATTTTTAGAACCATTCATTTATAGTTTTTTATGCTATTTTTAATGACAGTTACTCACTTTTCCCTTTAAAACTCATTACTGTATTACAAAAAAAGTGTATATATAATTAAATACACCCTCAATTACACCCTCTTTTTCTCTCTTTCAAAATCTCCTTACTTTCTCTCACATCTCTTTTTTATTGTATGGTTTAATCGTCAGCTCTTTTATCGCGGCCGTTGTTGTTTTTCTGGGGTTTCCAGTGTTGAGATCCTGTCAGCATGGCTGAGCACTTTAAGCTTGTCCCACGGGTGTCATCGTCGCCCCTCTCTCATCTATCACTTGCTCCACTCATACACAGGAACCAATCACACAACCCCTGGAAGCCCCTCCTCGCCTCAACCTTCACCCCAGACCTAACGCAACAGCCCTGGGGTGTGAGTATGTGTGTGATTGTAGGATATGGAGGAGTGTTTATGTGTATGGGGAGTCTACTAATGACTGTTTTGAAAGAGTAAGGGCGAAAGCATCCATTAAATGACATGATAATCAGCAAAATTACTAAATAAAAGAGTGATAAGCACAAGGGGTCATTAATGGGCTTGCAAAGACAAGCATCACTATTGCTATTGCTGATACGTTTGGTATGGGATTTAAACCAAGGAGGTCTATAATACCTGGATATAGCTATGTGTTAGCATTCCCATTCGTCTCAATGGCAGTTTCTTAGTGGGCACAGGATCCCCCGGAAGTACAATTTTAAATTTGCCGTCTTTGCTTAAAGATGCTCAGTTCTGGTCAATCACCTGAGCCATAATTGCCAATGACTCTGGATATATAGGAGCAAAACATAAAGACAACCATCTTGCAACCACCTTAAATACCTGCGCAAATGCATTGCAACTAGTGCTGTCAAACGATTAAAATATTTAATCGCGATGAATCGCATTAATGTCATAGTTAACTTGCGATTAATTGCAATTAATCACACATTTTTATCTATTCTAAATGTCTCTTGATTTCTTTTTGTCCCATTATTTTTTCTCATTTTAATGCTCTTATCAACATGCAAAAGTGGATCGGCTTGCTTTGTGCAAATGTTTTTTTATTGAAAACAACATTGGCATATACTGTGTTCAATTTCACACTAACATTCTCACTTGGAGCAAATAATCTCTCACACAATGTAACGCTGTCCATCAATAAAAGGGTGAAAGAAATACTGACGAGGTCCTGATATTGACGAGGGGGCGGAGAATTCGCATCAGCTGTGTCTCTGTGCTTGGCCATCATCAAGTGGTATTTCAGACTGGACGTGCTGCGATGATGATAGCTCAGTTCACAACGACAAAACACATAGATCACTTTGGTCTTGTCAATGGAACCATGATTAGGCAACTTTTTAAAAGTAAACTTTCCATTCAGAATCTTATAGGCTCTATGCACGAACGCTGCTGACGTATTTCCGGTAGAATCTCAGCCAGTGTCTTTACCTCCGCATAGCGCGTTCTATAGCGAAGTGTACTAGCGGCCAAACTTTAATAAAATTCATTTTCTCAGAAACGAGACAACAATTTTAGAAACTGATTCGCTAGTCGGATTTCGCATGATCTGAGAGATTACTCACCCTCAAAGTTGTCGATGTAGCTCGAAATATATAATTTAATGCCCTTCTCTTTCTTACTCTTATGTGTGACAGCTAACGGCCTCACAATATTGTTAACATCATTCACGTTAACCGCTGGAAGTTCTTGTAAACAGCGAGTGTAATTTGCCATTATCTCCATCTAATGCAAAAACGTTTGCGTTAACGCCGTTTATTACGCGTTTAACTGACAGCCCTAATTGCAACATATTAAAAACCACTCCAACACATTAGCAACCACTTGGGAATCAGCTAGCAATGCCCTAGCAACCACACAAGACACCCTAACAACTACAAAGAAAACATGCTAAAAGCCACTCAGAAAATCTTTGCAGCCACTTGGCAATTACATAGCAACACCCTAGCAACTACACTCAACACCCTAGCAACCACATAACAAACATGCTTAAAGCCACTCAGAAAACCTTAGCAGACACTTGGCAATTGCCTAGCAACACCCTAGCAAATACATAATAAACATGATAAAAGCCAATCTGAAAAGAACACGTTAGCAGCAACTTGGCAATCGCCTAGCAATGGCCTTAGCAACACCCAGAACATTATAGCAACTACACAGAACATCCTAAAAACTACCTAACAACCACACAGAACACCCCAATAAACCAAACATGCTAAAAGCCACTCAGAAAACCTTAGCAGCCACTTGGCAATTTCCTAGCAATGCCCTATCAACCACCAAGAGGATCATAGCAACTACCTAGCAACCACCCAGAACACCTTAACAATGACCTAGCAACCACACAGTACACATTGGCAACTACATGGAAAACATGGTAAAAGCCAATCAGAATACCTTTACAGCTACTTGACAAACACCTAACAACCACCCAAACCATCATAGCAACTACATAATAGCCACCCAGAACACCCTAGCAATGCCCTAACAACCACACAGAGCACCTTAGCATCTACATAGCAAACATGTTAAAAGCCAATCAGAAAAACTAATTGACAATAGCAATGCCCTAGAAACCACACATACCATCACAGCAACTACCTAGTAACCACCTAGAACACACTAGCAATGCCCTAGCAACTACATAGCAATCATGCTAAAAGCAACTCAGAACCACCTAGCAACCACTTGGATATTTTTTAGCAATGCCCTAGCAACCACACAGAACACCCTAGCAACTGCATAACATCACACTAATCACCTTAGCTTTTCAAGCACCACTCACAATTTCTTCAGAAAATGTAAAAAAAAAAGAAGTTATTATGATAGCAGCGATTTTAGTGGTTGTGTGATTTTAGTTCTACGTAACTAAACTGTAAGTGGATCGTTCCCTGTGAGATTATTTTGGCGATTTGGTTTTGTTCTGAGGATCTGATTTACTCTGGTTGGTTCTGTGATTTCCTACATATGTAACAATTCCAACAGCTTCAGTAGTTTCAATTCAGACTACTGTTATTTTGGGTTGACGACTTTACAGGCAGTACAGATTAAACAAAATCTGTGTGTGTGTGTGTGTGTGTTAGAGAGAGAGAGAGAGAGAGAGAGAGAGAGAGAGAGAGAGAGAGAGAGAGAGAGAGAGAGAGAGAGAGAGAGAGAGAGAGAGAGAGAGAGAGAGAGAGAGAGAGAGAGAGAGAGAGAGAGAGAGAGAGAGAGAGAGAGAGAGAGAGATTCCTGGAATCAGGTCTGAAGCAGCAGATGGTTTCAAATGTGGTCTGGGCCACAGGTCTCTCATGTGTACCCACATGTAGAAATGGTGGAATTAAAAATGAAAGGTCTAGACTGCTTTAAAGTGTGCATGACTGCATTTTAGACCAGGATTGTTAGCTGTCTAGGGCAAAGCCATGTGTGTGTGTGATAAGATACCACAGGAACTGGATGCACAGAGAGGACGTTGGGAGCTGGAGCTATTGTTGTCTGTACAAGGCGGCAAAATTGTCACTGCCAGTGTCATTGTTGTCAAGCAGAGATTTAGATTTGTTCATGTGTGTTTTCTGTGTTTTCTCTCTTGCAGTTCAGGTATGTGTACATGTAAGATAGGTGTTTACGGGCCCAAGTGTGACGACTGCCACCCTGGATTCTTCCACTTCAGCAGCACAGGATGCCAACCGTGCCGATGCAACAACCACTCCACCTACTGCCACCCTCAGTCAGGTCAGCCCAGCACACTTTCATCATCATTTAAAGTCTCTACATAGAATATTAAAGTACCCCTATAATGCTATTTTAAGGGTTCCGAATTTTGTTTTGGAGGTTTCCTACAACAGATTTACATGCATCAAAGGTGCATCACCACATTTTTCAATGGTTCTCAAACGACTCGTCAGAGGATTCAGTCTCTCCTTTTCGCGAGCCTACTCTGCTCTGATTGGTCAGATTTGTTGCGATTGGTCTACCGCTTACAGCGTGTTTCCGAAACTAAAGGCCCATTGCCATAACTTCAGCTCCGGAGGCTTCCTAAAGCTCAGCGATTGTACATACTGTAAAGACAGTAACGATGGCATAGATTTTACCATATCAATCCGAGCGCAAGTCCAATGATGAAACATTAGAAGAACTAGTTATTCAACCCGAACTTCCATCGCAAGGACGACTCGAGCAGGACATTTCTCAGTTATTTCAGCTACTCAGTTTGATGAAATTATGAGATGTTGTGACGGTAATTCCTCACCATCAGCATTAACACGTGTATGTTCATCAACAAACCAATGTGTATATTTCTAATTTAATGCTGAACACATGTGGGATCTGTATCAATAACAGCACATAGGTTAGCTGAGCACTAACATGAATGACTGATGTAACATTAAAGTTTGTAAAACAAATCTTGCTCCATCCTTTATCATTACTCAAAGTAGTAAGAACCACTTTCGACCACTTCCAGAGGTATTCGAAAATGCATTAGACCGGACTGCTTTCGTAGTGTAAACGCTCATGTGGTCAAATGCATTCAAACAGCCACAAAAGACCGTCTTCTCTCCACCTACTGACCCAATGTTAAAACACTAGTTGTAAACATATATGTCTCCCTTTTCTACTTGTGATCCAAACCACCAAACCGCATCTTAATACCAGGTATAAACAGGAGGACTATAGATATACAAACACAAGACTTCCTATTATTATAAAACATAATATGAAACAAAAATAAAACCAGATAAAAAAATAAAAACTTAACAAATACTCACAATTATACTCTCAGCCTTCCAGGGAGTTCTCAATGTAAAAAATACATTTGGAGCTTTGATTTGTAAACATTATTAAATCACATAATACTCAATATGATCTGTTAATTTGCATTCATATACTTAAGAATGAAATAGCATGCAATTTTAGTGAATATATAACATAATATAATATAATAAATATAATATAAAACATTTTTAATACAAAATAAACTACTGGTCTGTTAATATAGTCACGTAATAAAACAGATGATGATTTAGATTTATATTTTTAATAGAATATTTATTTTGTAATTATTTATTTTTATATTTTTTTTTTATTCATATATATTTGGTGCAAGAAGATGATGATTCTGTTATTTTAAAATGGCATGAAGATGAATAAAAAACATTGGTTTTCTTTTTGGGGGAACTATTTCTTTAAACTAATATCTGCAGATTTGAGATTGACTCACCTAGAGCGATTCATCACAACATCCTCCACACTTTCCCCTCTTTTCTCTCTTCCTCCCTGTATCCTAGGCAACCAAGGCTTAATTAACCTCAATTTTGAATTCCGAACCAAAAAACCCTATCAACATAATGCTCATGCTTTAGTGTGTGTGTGTTAATTTGTTAAGCAAACCTGCTGACATCTGAGAAGTGTAGGCGTGTTTGTCTTAAATCATTTCACCCGGGCCTCAGTCTACTGATGCCATAGACATGTTTGGCAACTGCATGTTCAAGTGCATGTGTCTAGGAACCCATCTGTCCCTGTCTCTCTCTCTCTCTCTCTCTCTCTCTCTCTCTCTCTCTCTCTCTCTCTCTCTCTCTCTCTCTCTCTCTCTCTCTCTCTCTCTCTGCGGTGTGTGTGCAGATGGTAGCTGGTACCCTTTTCCCCGATGCGGAGAGCCACAGTCAGATTTACAGCCCTCCTCAGTCATAAAACCCAATCAGCATCTCCTGAGACTGCTTACAGTTCATAGACTCACACCCGCCCTGCAGCCTAATACCACACACACACACACACACACACAAGACGAGCAGTAACTCACAGAGCCAGAAGAATACTGCGCATTTACACAAAGCCTTTTGGTCTTTCTTTCTTTCTCCCCGCAAAACACTTACTGGATAACTGTAACATGCAGATTGACATGTGATAAAGCTGAAGCGATATTTTTTTCATGTAAAGGAAACAAAGAATGAAAAATAAAAATGTAACTCTGACATGCAAAGTGAACATAAGAAATGAAAAAGATATAATAACACAAGATTTCATATTCTCATCAAACACAATATGAAAAAAAAACAACAACATCAAACCAGTTAAACAAAAAAAACCAAAACTTGTAACATATTAACATTTCCCTTGAACCAAGCGTAACAATTTGATGTTTTCATTAATTAAATCACATAAAGCTCAATATTATCTGTTAATTTGCATTCAATTACTTAAGCATGAAATTGCATGCAACATTGGCTTATATAATACAATATTAAAGCAATTCTCCCTGTGAAGCTACGGTTTACGGGGAATTTAGGACAGCTAGGGCCGTTGTTAGGCACAACATAAAGTGGAGTTCATAAAAACCCATTAGCTGTTCTAAATTCATATAATATATATTTATTTTATTATTAATTTGGTGTATGTACTATTTTACAATGGCTTCAAACACAGTGCAATCAATCAGAATCATATATACTGTATATATATGCTAATTGGAGAACTAGTACAGCGTTTCTCAGACTGGAGCCTCATCATTAAAAAAATCACCCAGTACACATTTAATTTATTAATCAGAGCACTTTAAACTTTAGTAATGGGCTCTTCTCTTAAAAGGCAGAATTATTTTGAAGTCTCACTGTGCTAAACTATATATAGTTAGATAATGATTTACTATCCTCCCCTTATATAATGATTTACATAAGACTCTCAGGAAGTCAGGAAGTGTCATATTCTGTCTATACTATTGCTAATGATCAATTGTTCTGTATATTCTCCTGGTGTTTCAGGTGTTTGTTTGGACTGTCAGGACAACACTCAGGGCCACAACTGTGAGGAGTGCCTGGTGAACTTTTACCGGCGTCCTGGCGAGGGGTCCGCGGACGGCTGTCTGCCTTGTCCCTGCTCCTCTGAGACCTCCAGCGGCAGCTGCCATCTCGGTGGGTCTGCATCTCTCTGAAATGTTGACAGGGTTCAGCACATCGTGTCCTGAAAGTGCCTGGGAATTATTCAGGAGGGCAGAAAAATGGAAGGGATAGAAAGTTACATTTTGATTTATTTTCTCACTGACGGATCTTGACATTACACTACCAGCCAAAACGTTTTTAATGTTTTGGAAACATTGAGTCTTTTAGCTCACCAAATCTGCATTTATTTGATCAAAAATACAGTAAAACAATAAAAAAATATTATTACAATTTCAACTGTTTTCTATTTTAATATTGCAATGTAATTTATTCCTTTAATGGCAAAGCTTAATTTAGCTGATTTTGTTCTCAATTATTATTAATTGTTTTTGGTGCTCAATTAATAATAATTAGTTCTGCTTAATATTTTTGTGGAAACAATGATATTTTTTTATGATTCCTTTATGAATAGAAAGTTCAAAAGAACAGCATTTATATTAAAAAAATGCATTATACATGTATTTATTCAATTCAATTTAATGGGTCCTTGCTAAATACATTTTTTTTTTTAAACTTCCCTTCCCCAAACGTAGTAGTGTATTTAGGTTTCCACAAAAATATTAAGCAGCACAAAAGTTTTCAACATTGATAATAAGAAGAAATGTTTCTTGAGCAGCAAATCATCATATCATAATGATTTCTGAAGGATCATGTGACCCTGAAGACTGGAGTAATGATGCTGAAAATTCCGCTTTGTCATCACAGGCATACATTGCATTTTAAAATATATTAAAATAGAAAACAGTTATTAAATTGTAATATTTTAATAATTGTAATAAAATTACTGTATTTTTTATCAAATAAATGCAGCCTTTGTGAGCATAAAATACTTCTTTCAAAAGCATTAAATATCCTATTTATTCCAAACTTTGCCCAGTAGTGTGTGTAGAAAGTAAATAGGGTTAATTCAGAGATCATGTTACCTTTAAGGGTCAAGGCCTCAAGTTTGATTGGGCCAAAAATACAGTATCCAGTCAAAATCTGATATTTCATTATATAAAAGTTTCCTGACGGTTGTTGCAAGTAACTTTTGGCTTGTACCTGGAGTTTTATAGCATTAGGATGATTGAGTTGTCAGTGAGCATGTGGGAGTTGTTCATTTCTTGATGGATTGATACATGACCATGGTTTAAATATTGGTTACCGGTACATACAACTGAAAATTTTTATGGTACCAATGGAGCCAATCAAAGACTTTGTTTTCATCTCAGCTTCTCTTCCATTGGATGCAATCGCACAGCAACAGCCATGGTTATGCGGCTTTGGGTTGTCACTTTACATTTACGGTCAGTGGAGCCTGAGGAGGAAAGTCAACAAGCGAGTGTGAGGAAGAGTGAGAGTGAGAGAGAGAGAGAGAGAGAGAGAGAGAGAGAGAGAGAGAGAGAGAGAGAGAGAGAGAGAGAGAGAGAGAGAGAGAGAGAGAGAGAGAGAGGGCACTGAAAGTTCAGGACTCTTATATAAATGTACTCCATATTACTTATATATTTACAGGTCAAATGTGTAAGACATAATGTACAGCCTGCCAATCATATAATATTTATACTGATAATGATCATTGGACTGTACATTAAGCCACGTATTACATGGCCAATTAACAAACAAATAAATACATGGAATATTAAATATTATTGAAATTATTTTAATATCTATATAGAAGAGAGAGGGAAAATGAAAGGGAGGGTAAAATGAGGGAGATGAAGCAGAACATCAGTGATTATCAATGTGTCAACAGGCCCACATCTGCGCCTCTCGATTTCCACGACTGCAGACATTTCACCTTAAGTCCATATTTTATGGAGTGGTGTAATGGTTAAAGATCTGTGCTGACGACTGAAAATGTGTAGGTTCAAATCCTGCAATTGTGCTCTTGAGCAAAAGCTTAACCCCAGGTTGCTCCAAGGGAAGTGCTCCTATAAGTAAGTATACTGGAAATGTCCCTGGAACTTCTAAATTACTACCTGCTTTTTTTTATTTTGAGGCTTTGCTGATTTTTTAAAAGGTTTTTAAAAATGGAAAAAAATCGAAATCTTAATGTTTTTATGTGGAAAAAAGGTGTGACGTTTAGTTGCAAATAGACTTAATGACCCCATGAAGTTTTATGGACCCCCAGGGGGCACAAGGGGGGTGATATCATTTGATAATTTAAATACATTAATACAATAATACATTAATATAATATTTATAATAAATAAATAACTGAAGACAACAATATCAAATAATACAAAATAATAAAATAAGTTAAAATGCTTAATTTGACATTACTATGTATTAATTTGCTTTTTAAAAACAGGTTGTAAAAATTAGATTAATTACAATTTGTTCTATAGTTGTATGTGTCTTTAGGTTTATGGTGATTAGAAAATAAAATATGGATAGATGGATGGATGGATGAATGGATGGATGGATAGATGGAGTGAAAGAAAATTTTGATGCCAAATGACAACTGACAAAAAAAAAAAAAAAAAAAAAAAGCCCAAATGTGTGTGTGTGTGCATTTCTATACTAGTTAGTTTCCCTGGTGGTGTTAAAGGTGGTAAACCCTCATGTGTTGGCATCATGAAGCTGGCACAGGCATTGCTGAGGAGTTCTCATCGCAGGGATGGGAGGAGTGCCGAAACCAATTCCTCTGCCTTCTGGCCACTTCCGTCTGTCACTGCCCGGCAGTGTGTCTGTCTCTCTGACTCGCTCCAGACTTGTGCATGTCACAGGCTGAGACAGTGAGGAGAGAGATGTGCTTCAGGGAGGGGGTTGTCCTGGCAACAGCGTCCAGTAAGAAAATAGATCAGTGGGGTCATCATGACTATTGAAACTGCAGAGAAGCTTGCATTACTGCATGTGTGTGTGTGTGTGTGGAAGACTTTACATTTATTCTGAACATCATTTTATAGATATGAAACCTGGTAGCAGGCAGTTGTAGGTCAGACAGTGAGTGTGAGTGTCAGGCAGGTCAGAATGTTAATCCAGTGCACTCATTCACACATCCTGCTAAGTGTGTTTTTCTTTCCTATCATAAATATTTCAGAGCCGACAACAGCTATGTTGTGTGTTTGTGTGTGTGTGTGTGTGTGTGTGTGTGTGTACGTACTTAACTATATTTTGGTGACAAATTTGTACCCAGAAGTGACCAAAACCTGACAAAATCTCCAAAAACCTCCCTTTAGGGACGTCCTCATTTGCAAATCTAGTATAATAATAAAGTTATTAAAGTTTTTTTTTTTTTTAATAAAAAATACAGAACGTTTTGTGTGATGGGTAGGGTAGTGTAAGGGGATAGAATATACAGTTTGTACAGTATAAAATCCATTACGTCTATGTCCCCATTTAGATAGCTATGTAAATGTGTGTGTGTGCGTGTGTGTGACATGGCAGTTTTTGGACATGGTACTGTGGTAATACTATGGTACCTTGGAGTAACATGCAAAAACCATGAATATGGTAATCATTAAATACCATAGTAAATATCTGAGTACCTGAGTACCTGAGTTAATTTATTCTACAATGTGCAATTTTTTATTCATGTACTTATATGTATTTAATTTTTTGTATTCATTTTACATTTATTCTTATAATTTATTTATTTTTTTATTTTTTCGGGGGCTGGTTGACAAGTATGGGTAAGGGGTAAGAACCAAAATGTCACTGTTACAAACTTTTTTTTCTGACTGATATTCGTGTTAAAAAAAACTACTTTTTTTTTTTTAATTAAGTAAATTAGACAATTCAAACAATAGTCTTAATCACTGCTTCATTTTTATGTTATTCTGCATGTTTTGTGTTATCACTGCACTGTAGAATGTCAGGCTTGAAATTTGGTGCTTTGGCTCCACCTTGTTGTTGGAGTTGGAACTACTTAGTGTCCCCCAAAAATATTTTACTCAAGTTATGCTTAAAATTGTCTTAATTTCAATGCATGAATAATAAAACAATCAATTCAAGATGCTAGAGTTTTTCTTAGAACTATCTTCACTTTTCAGGGCCATACGTCAGATCCCTTCCCTTAAACTTCACACCGGTCTCTTATAAAATATGGTTTGATTGGGCAGTGACAAGAGGAAGTGGCCAGAAGACATTTATACCTTTTTAAGTGTGGCGCAACTGTCCAAATACCTTAGAGGCCCTCTATACATCAAAATGAGTCCAGCATTAGGAAGGGAACACTAAATCTCTGTAATGCTCCATAAAATAAGCTACAAACGCCTTATTTAATCTCTTAGTTAAATCTCTCTGTATACCTATGACTGTATTGAAAAACATCCGACTAATAGTATTGTGAAATATGCAGACGATCACGATACTACTGTGGTAGGACTCATTGACCGCAATAACGAAACTGCCTATAGAGATGAGGTGAATAATTTGATCATGTGGTGCCACAGAAACAATCTGTCCCTCAATGTGGGGAAAACTAAGGAGCTCATCATAGATTTTAGAAGAAACAAACCCACACATACACCTGTCTATATTAACAACTCTCCCGTTGAAATTGTTAACACCTTTAAGTTCTTAGGCATCCATATTTCAGACTCCCTTTTATGGTCCTTCCATAACAGCTGTGCCATTAAGAAGGCACATCAGAGGCTTTATTTCTTGAGGTGTCTCAAGAAATATGGTATGTCCCTTAACATTCTACAGAACTTTTACCGCTGTACAATTGAGAGTATACTGACAGGTTACATTGCAGTGTGGTTTGGCAGGCCTACTTCACGTGACCGTAATCTTCTGACAAAGGTGGTTAAAACTGCATCTAAAATTATTGGGGTTCCACTTGAGCCACTCCAAAATATTTACTGGAAACGCAGCACTAAGAAGGCACTAGGTATTATGCAGGATTCTAATCATCCTGCACATAATCTCTTCTCCCACCTTCCTTCAGGGAGACGTTTAAAGAGCATCCCAACGCGCACATCATGTTTCAGGGATAGTTTTTACCCTCAGGTAATAAGGCTACTGAATGATAGTACAACAGGAAGGAGGGTTGAGGCTTGAGCTTAGTTACTATATTTACTGTGCTTGGATGTTTTTAATGTTATTTTAATTGTTATTTATTGACTGGTGCTGAGAGAGTGCCAAGGCACATTGTATTTCATTGCTGTGGTACTGTGTACTAATATGCATATGACAATAAACTTGAACTAGTTGTTGATCATGTGTGTTCAATCTCATTTACAGATTCCAGTGGACGAACAGTATGTGACGAATGTAAGCCTGGCTTCTCTGGCCCGACATGCGACGTGTGCACAGACGGTTTATTTAAATCGGCAGGCGTGTGCGTGTCCTGCGACTGTAATGGGAACGCAGACCCTCGCTCCATGCCACAAATATGCCACCCTGAGACTGGGCACTGCCACCGCTGCATCAACCACACAACAGGAGCACACTGTGAGATCTGCACACGTGGATACACGGGGGACGCCCGCTATCACAACTGCACCCTGAGAGGTACGACTAGCGTCTAAGAATTGTGGGAACACAGTTAAACAAACATGTCCATACAGTACTGATGGGGTTACTGTCCTTTACAGTTTTTCTGAATTGCTAAAACACCAAATTCCATTCTCTGAACCAAATTCTCAATAGCTTAAACCATTTTGTCGAATAAATCATTATTTCTGCAAAACCTTAAACAAGTTCCGGCAGTAAGACACTGTTTGCAAATCTCATGCACATTTTTTTTTGTGCAAAACTCTAAACACATTTTCACTCATTAAAACACATTTCGCATAGTGACACATTTCTGTCACAAAACACTGAACAACGCAAGAGGCACAGGTAAAACACAACTACAACACAGTTGTCATCGTTTATACACAACGACTCAAAATTGTTCACACTTATTTCTAATGATGTGACCAGACCAACTGTACATAATACAAGTTAGTTCAGAGTGCCAAAATTGACTCAAAATGTTGCACTGAATGTTGATTCCAATAATGGATGGAAACAATATGAGTGGGAGAGGAGGAAGAGTATGTGTATAAGAGGTGGTGAACGACGAGGAAGAGGATGAGGAAGAGCAAGGTGTGGAGAATGTTGTCAAGGCTGATCTGGCTTTAGGGTTTTTCCCTTTGCATGCTGAGATGACATTGCCTGTGATGTGGACAAAGTCCTCAGTCTGAACCCAACATGAAAACTTGATACTGTGCCAGAATGAGACTCTCACTGACCTTGATTTTGCAGTTGCACAACTCTTCTGAGTGTATTGTAACATGCTTTTCATTTAGTGTTTTTTTCTCTCTTTTCTTTTTTTCTTTTCTTCTAGTTTTCACAATTGTTTAGACACATTTCTTGAAACCTTCACCCATTTTCTCACAACATTAAACACAAATCCAAACTTTCAAACGAAACTCACAAAACCATTGACTCTTCTGGCAAAGTCAAACAATAGCTTAAAAACCATTTCACTCAAAAACAAACAATGCTTTAAGATCATACACGCATAAGTCAATAAAATAAGCACTACAGATCATTCATTAGACACTACATAAAAAAGTGGAGAACACAGCATTCAGAACGTTACAGAAAAAAATTCTATTTTATACTGTAAATAATTTTTGCAATTACAATCTTTTTTGTAAAACTGAGTACGGTGAATATATTGTACTGAATGCACTGCAAGTATATTATTGAACTGAATATTGAATAGTAGGCCTATTGAATGTCTGTATATTCAGCACTTGCATAATGTGAAAATACTGTAGTCCAATTGCAAAAGCCAAAAATGTCAAATGAAACTCTAAATAAAAAGCATGTTACGGTACACTCAATACTGTAAGTTGTGCAACTGCAAAATCAAAGTCAATGAGAGAGATTCATTCTGCTTCAGCATCATGTCTTCTTTCTGGCTCTGGGCTGAGGACTTTGTCCACATCACAGACAATGTAGTCTCTTGCACAACAAAGGGGAAAACCCCTGTAGTCTGACACATCCAGCCTTGACGACACTGTCCTGCTCCTCAATACTCGGCACATACTCTTCCTCCTCTCCCTTTTAGATTGTTTCCATCTATTGTTGGCGTCATCATTCACTGCAGCTGTGTCACCTGTGCACTCATATTTCATACAGTTGGTTTGGTCACATCATTAGAAATAAGTGTGAATAATTTTAAATTGTTGTGTGTAAACGATGACAACTTGTAATTGTGTTTTACTTTTGCCTCTTGTGTTTAGTGTTTTGCGACACAAATGTATCACAGTGCGAAATGTGTTTTAATGAGTGAAAATGTGTTTAGCACAAAAAAAAAGTGCATGAGATTTGCAATCAGTGTTTTGCTGCCTGAACTTGTTTAAGGTTTTGCAGTTGGGTTACCCTTTCACAGTATGCAAGTGCTGAATATACAGACATTCAATAGGCCTACTAAACAATATTCAGTAATACTATACTTGCAGTGCATATATACAATTTATTCACCTTACTACTGTAAGTTGTGATTACTATACTTTTTTACATAATTGCAAAATTTGTTTAGTAATTTGTTGACTACAATATACTTTTTGTCTGTAACTGCATGCTTTGGATTCTGTTCTCCATTTTTTTTATGTAGTGTCTAATGAATGATCTGTAGTGTTTATAATATTGACTCATGTGTGTATGATCTGAAAGCATTGTTTGATTTTGAGCAAAGATTAAATGGTTTTGGGGCAATTGTTTGATTGAGTCAGGGGTTCTCTGAATGTAGTTTGAAGATTTGGTTTTGTGTTTAAGGATTTGAGAAAGTGTGTGATGGTTTCGAGAAATGTGTTTTAGCAATTCGGAAAAAATGTAAAAAAGAACAAGTACCGATTATTGTTCACACAAACTCATTTGACTTCATAAAACTCGCAAATGTTGGCAAATCAAGTGATTCATTTTTAATCAAAAGTGGTTGCTTGACAGATAAGACGGTAAGGAACTGTTTCTCCATTATTTCCTTTGCCCGAACCTGTTCAAGTTCAATCTTCCATCACCAAGTGGCGTAACCATTAAAGAAACTGAACAGAAATTATATATCAGAAAACAGGAAGTAATACTGAAATATATATAAACACAGGAAATATCATAATTGCCTCTCATAGAAGGTTACAAAAATGATTCTTACTTGCAAAATCAACACCATAAGCAAACAATAATCATATACAAATTATTGACTTATAGGCTATTACAGTGTGAGAGAAGTATTTTGAATGATGAGGTTTAGTTTTGCGTTGACTCTTGCAGGAGTTAGCTAATGTTATTAACTGCTCAAATGTTTGCTGAGAATGTCAACTGGTAAGCAGCTACCTAACCTTGTTAAGATTTAATTCAGTAACTTTCTAACAAATAATTTTGATACGGTTTAAGCCCCGTATTGGCGTGACGACCTCCAACAGTCACACAGCCTGTTTTATTTAGTTCTGATTGTTGTCAAAAATTCTGATACTTTAGTACCAATAATAGGCGCCGAACCAGTCAAAAAATAAATTGAGATTCAGTGGATCTCACTTTGGGTCCTGGCTGGTCATAACACATACAATTCTACTATTATATGCAGCGTTATGAAGTGTTTATGAAGTGTGGGCACCCACCGTCAGAAACATAAATCGGCACCTATAGTACCAAGTTTATACTATAATTTAACATTATCAAACTTTCTGCAGTACTGGTAGTACCAAGTACCAGGGTAATATGTTACCCGCTGATAGGCGGCTGCGTTAAAACACTCCCATCCGTATTTGTGTGAGTGCCAATGGCCAATCAGATGTGTTTGGGTTAGTCAGAATCCACTTAATCCCGCTCAAAACACCTTTTTTATGTTGTTGTTGTTTTTTCAGCGAAAGCTCATTGACTGAGTTCTGCACATTTGTGTATCCTTTTATTATACGTAAACAATGTAAATAAGAGATTCTTTGTGCAGCTTCATTAATTATAACGGGAGTTCCCTTTCGAGAATGGTCACGACATATTGCGTAGCTAATACGCAGTGGGGAAACTCATTTTCCTTGAAATATTGAAGCAATAATTTAAAACGCAGTGCAGCTGCACAGCGAACACAGCAGACCATCTAGCTCGCTCATTGGTTGTGCTCCGGCAACTGCACATCCTATGGCCGAGCGCCTCAGACGCGTGACCCAATCAACTGACTTGCCGCCAAATACGCCAGAGTACGCCTAAATGGCCGTGGCCTAAGCCTATAAAGATCGCTCATTTCGGCCAATATATCAGATTTACTCAACTTCAGCGACACTTCACGTCTCTGACTCCTCTGAAGCCATCGCCGTTGAATCAAGCCAGACAGCTGGAGCGAGCCTCTGCAAACAGCGGACAGCCCCTTCAACTCACCTTGAAGCCGCTTCTCATCTGTCGCTGCTCTCCTGCTTCCCAACCCGGCGAGAAAACGTTATATCGCTTTTCTGCTACTGTTGTGTTCGCTCTGCGACACTCAGTTTTCTGAAAGAGCAAGTTTTCACGAAGCGTTGTTCCAAATGCCACGCTCTTCATGCACCTTGTGCGGATGTCGTCTACACGAGGATGACGGGCACGCAGAGTGCGCCACGTGCCTGGGACCCGCCCACGCTTAAGCTGCCACTCTCACTGCGAGAGCCTTCCCATCTCAATGCTGCGGATGCGGTTAGCTCTCTTTTGAGCCGGCGGCACCGCTCCTCTGAATCTTCCTTTCCCGGCACTACTTCAGCCACGGAAGAAGAAGCACCACAGCCAATGGCAGCCCGAACACATGGAGGTAAACGAGCCCACGCCGACCACGTCCCCGCGTGCCTTGCTTTCTCCATCACAATCTTCGCCGGTCCTGTTCACTAAGGCAGACCAATGCCCCTCCCTTCAAGCGATGGGTCTCGTCTCCTTCGGCGGATCGGACGAAGAACACGACAGCCTCTCCATTGCTGCATCTGAGGAAGAGTGATCGGGCTTGCTGGACCCCGCCCTCTCACAGTCCAGTGCTATCGCTACAGCTACTAGGACCAATTCGGACGCCGACATGCTGCGCATCCTCACTGCGGCCGTTTCAGACCTCGGTCTCGAATGGGCCTCGCCTGATGAGCCGCCCAGGAGCCTGATGGATGGCCCCCCGCCACAAACCAGCGCCCTTCTTCCCTGAGGTTCATGATGAACTCGCAAAGTCATGGCGCGCCATACTCAGCACGCACAAGCTTATATGCTCTCCTCTGTCGACGGCGCAGCGGAAAAAGGATATGAGAAGCAGTCACTGCTCGAGGAAGCAGTCACCGCCCGAGGAAGCAGTCACCGCCCGAGGAAGCAGTCACCGCCCATCTGTGTCCACCCACTGCTGCTGGCTGGAGATCGAGAGCGTGCACCCCTCAAAGCCCTGTCAAAGCACCTCAGCCCTCGCTGGACGCGCTTTCTCTGCTTCCAGTCAGGCTGCATCGGCTCTGCACACCATGACCGCCGCTGACCTGCACAGCGCCACAGATCTAGCACTGCGCCCAGGCTATCAGCAGAGGCTAATC